TTCTAAACATCCGATAATAACACAATAATCCACAAGTAATCCACACCAGTCCCTTACTTAACTGGCTCTACTTCCAGCTCCACCCCAAAAAAAAAAAAAAAAAATATATTTATATGAAATGGTGTCCAGGTGTAATGTAATTAGTACAATATATTTCCTATTTTGTTTAATATTTATAATAATTACAATAAAAGTCATTTATTATTTCTTTAGTTCTGTTTTATTTGCTAAAGCTCCCCCAACAAAATCACCCCAATTATTCTAGAATTATTATTTCTTTCAAAACAGAACTATTCAAGTCATTTGGTAAAAAGTCTATTTTTTCATATCACAATATATGAAACGTATATACAGAACAAATTGCACTGTCAGGTTTTTCCCAATATCAGCCCTACAGTATGCAGCATTTAAAATCATATAACAAAGTTATGGACAAACTGTAATGTTGTAAAAGGAGTACAAGTATGCATATGCTTCGATTCAGGAAATATAATACAGTGAACAGAGAATAAAGCGGCTAATGAGATTTGGTTTGATCGTGAGGCTGACGATGTGCTGAAGGTTTAAACGAGTCCTCTTACTGACCGTTTGCTGAAACACAGGCTGTTTGTCCTCGATTGTCTGAAAGTGTGTGTGTGTGTGTGTGTGTGAGAAGCAGAATTAAGCCGCTCTTTGTCCTGTCCTCTCTCATGTCCAGCCGTCTGCCGGCGCAGCTCAGCTGAGCCCCTCGTTAGCATCGTTAAGCCTGCAGTCTCAACCTCCGGAGGCCCTGAGGGCCGTTAACCTGCTGCAGGAGCGCAGCCTTCTTCCTCCAGGAGCCGTGCCTCCGCCGGTGCCCTGTCTGCCGCAGGACCTGCAGAAGATAAACTGCAGCCCAGAGTCAGTGCCCTCACTCACACATGCTCACGTTGATGGTTCTGTGCGCTTCACTGACGGTGTTCTCGTCCTCAGGGTGTTCCGCTGTACTCTGACCAGCATCCCGCAGACTCAGTCCCTGCTGAACAAAGCCAAGCTTCCCCTCGGCCTCCTGCTGCACCCCTTTAAAGACCTCTCAGTGAGTCACGGATCCGTCTCTCACACACACTCACACTCTCTCACACACACACGCTCACACACGCACACACACTCACGCACACGCACGCTCACACACGCACACACACTCACGCACACGCACGCACACACTCACACACACACTCACGCTCTCTCACACACACTCACACACACTCACGCTCTCTCACACACGCACACACACACACACTCACGCACACACACACACTCACACGCACTCACACACACACACACACACTCACGCACACACACACACACTAATGAGCTAATGGTCTTCTTCAGCAACTGCCGGTGGTGACGTCCAGTAATATCGTGCGCTGCCGCTCTTGTCGGACCTACATCAACCCGTTCGTGACCTTCCTGGACGCTAGAAGATGGAAGTGCAACCTGTGT